TATCCTCAAGTTCATTGCTTAGTTTCTTGTTTTGAATAATCAAGTATAGGTAGTTCAGGTATAAATTCGTTCTAAGTCAACAATAATGTTCCTATAATATTCCAAACAATAACGATCTATGTATTTGTCGCATATAACTTAGTCCTTTGATATCATTCCAAAAGCATTTACTTTATGAGAATGAGATTCCTTCCATGGAATTTGCCACATCTCTTGATACTTCATCGACGCCACTCTATGCGTCATTTAATCGGAACAGATACTGGGTGATCAGAATTCTGAGTCTTGAAGCACCCTGTATTTTCTCCAATTAAATTCCAGTAGAAAGTGAATCGAGAGTTAAGATAGGGACATGTGAGCCGTTTTGATCGATAATGAATAGTTTCGACACAAAAAAATCCTAAAATTGAGAAATCTCGATTCCTGCTAGACCCCAAGTGTGATGCATCGATGGAAACAACTCTTCAGGAAGAATCTTAAAATGCAATAAAATACAGGGTGTTCCATTTCAAATAAGAAAGTTGCTAGTTGTTTCTGATAGAAGTGGCAACACTGTATTGATGAAAATACTTTAGACGGATAGAAAATGTTCAATTATCAAAGCATCACAATTTTCAGAATGTTCTGTTTTTTTGTTCTCCAGATACTTCTGATAGGCCATCCACCGTGGATCACCCTGTATATATATCTGAACTCTTGCATTATTCTCTCAACTCGCTAAATGACTATTCGATGTTTCACACCCTGATAGAGCCGCCACTTAAGGGTGCTGTCACAACATAGCCCTGCAAATTTATTACTTCAATTAACTGGATAATCTCTGGAATTCACCTAATTGAGCGACTGACAAAACTGAAGCGACCATCACACTATCGAAATCTTGTAAAGCCAAACAGTTGAGTTATAGTTAATCTCATTCCTTTTATGAACAATTTGTTTACACTTCCTTTGCAAGGAAGCAGTTTTCGAAACAATTGAATTCCTTGTTAATAATTTCAGTCTGCTGAAATATATTGAGGGCATGAAGTGGTACTTGAAATATGAGTAAAAATGCTCATTTGCCTGAGTCATGAACGGAAAATGTTTGTGACAAATAGCGTTGAAAGCTTAGTTTCCGGAACATACATTACTGCTATATGATGTCGAAGTGTATGTAGGTATACCTACTAACTACGATAATCATTACTCTCTCGATCCTGCTGAATAAACAGTGTTTTCCAGACGTATTGTTTGAAGGAACTATCAGACACGTTCCAAATAGGAATGATTTATGACTTTTAAGTCAATTTCACTGTGTATTTTACGAGGTATTTTATGAACCATCTCTCAGGGTGCGTTACACTGAAGGCTCACAACAATAATTATATTGCGAGATAACGTTCAAGAATCCACTGCACATTCAAACCATGCTACTCGATTGCGTCTGCTAATTCACATTCCATACTGGATTGCAAATAAATTTCAGTGATTCAAGAATTCGAGTGGGTTTGTTCAAAGTTCACAGTTATGAACGATAATTGCAATAGTCGATTTTTTCTTGAGGATATATTCAATGTTTAATTATTCAAATTTATTCATAGTATATGTTTGTGCCATGCCGGTGAAAATCAAAGCAAGATCAATGATAGTCGACAAGTTTCCATATTGTTCTTCGCGTCTTCAACTCAATAGACCTGGACATCGAACATCAACTTTCAAGTTGATGTTCGATGTCCACATGTGAGTGCGAAAAAACCACAAAAGACTCGCAAAGTTACCGAATCACTCATAGAATGAAACATAATGATTATTTCCATCTGCCTTCTCTCGAAACGAAGAAGAATTCATTCTCATAACTTTACTGATATTACGATTTTCTAAATATTCGAGTAAATTCTGTCGTTACCTAATACACGAAAGTGTGTTGCCGAGCAACATCACGAGTCTGTCAGGACAAGTGGTATTGCTGTGCGGAAACACAATTGAGTTAACAAAGAGAGACAGAATCATGATGAGATATTCAGAACAGAGTGTTTTCCTGCTATTTCACATTCACGAAGCTCGAATAGCATTTATTATGAATGAGCATATCAGTCTGACAACTACAGCTATAATTATTTCATGCCAAACTGACAAACTTTGCTTCGCTATCCTTGGTTACATCGTTGGAAACACCAACGCTGATAGACCAATGAGAATTGAAAGACAGCGATATCACAAGTTGTCTTTGAGTCATGATCGGTCAGATTATATGTGATGAGTGAAATATTCTGAAGATAATATACCTCTGACAGGCAAACACAAGCAGTGCAGCATTTTCAATAATATGTGAAAAATTTGTCACATTGTGAGAATTTTTTGTCGATGTAATTCATGAGGACTTCATGCTGTTCTAAGATGATCCAAGTTTCGATCACCATCAATTGAAAATCGAGGAAGAGATAGCAAAACAGTGCAAACTTGCACAAAAATTGTGTTCTAGTGCTCTATGAATTTTTGAAAAACCACACTATTGTGCAAGTTTGACAATATCTATAATATTTTGAACGTATTTTTTTCTGTTAGGTTTGTTCAGGTATAAATAGTTATTTGTTTAACTAGGCAGCAAAGTAGTAGATTGACTGCCGTGGCTTCATAGCCGAGCGTAGCGAGGCTAGGAATCCAGCTAAGGCAGTCAATCTACTTTGCTGCCGAGTTGAACATATAATTTTTTATCCGATTGTTCATAATGATATGGGAGAATATTGTATTTGCGAATTAATGCAATTCCCACAATCTCATTATTCTTCCTGTATAGTGTTCAATTAAAATAAAATTTGATAGAAATCGCAGTTGTTGGTTTGACAATTCATGAAATTTCTGACAGTTGTGCGAAACAATATCGGTATATTTAAATTATTATATAATGGACAGTGATAGCGACCTGGAAGTATACTTACACCTCCATTAATGAGGGAGGTGGCAAAAAATATAGAGTTGAATTTGTTGCCGGAGAAGTCTTGTATGGAATATGAAGGAAATTATAAACGATTTATGGAATTTTGCAGATACATATCAATCAGCAGAGTAACCACTTTGCTGCCTAGGCAGGAACAGTAATACTTTGCTGATCGATATGTTTCAGCGAAATTAATATTTGCTGCCAATCGGAGGAAATAGTTATTTGTTTAACAAGGCAGCAAAGTAGTAGATTGACTGCCGTGGCTGAATTCATAGCCGAGCGTAGCGAGGCTAGGAATCCAGCTAAGGCAGTCAATCTACTTTGCTGCCGAGTTGAACATATAATGTTTTCTCCGATTGTTCATAATGACATGGGAGAATATTGTATTTGCGAATTAATAAAATTCCCACAATCTCTTTATTCTTCCTGTATAGTGTTCAATTAAAATAAAATTTGATAGAAATCGCAGTTGTTGGTTTGAAAATTCATGAAATTTCTGACAGTTGTGCGAAAAAATATCGGTATATTCAAATTATTATATAATGGACAGTGATAGCGACCTGGAAGTATACTTACACCTCCATTGATAAGGGAGGTGGCAAAAAATATAGAGTTGAATTTGTTGCCGAAGAAGTCTCGGATGGAATATGAGGGAAATTATAAACGATTTATGGATTTTTAATTTTGCTGATACATATCAATCAGCAAAGTGACCACTTTGCTGCCTAGGCAGGAAAAGTAATACTTTGCTGATCGATATGTTTCAGCGAAATTAATATTTGCTGCCAATCGGAGGAAAAATATATTGCATATAGGTAGGTAGGTATAGGTAGTTTTTATGCTTATTTATTTAGTTTGGTTGAAGATATAGCCACTGGTTTGGAGGAAAAATAAGATAATTTCGAGTTAGGCGTGAAATAAAAGAACGATATATCGATATAAAATTCGAAGAAAATTGATATATCGATATGTTTTGACTTATCGATAATCGATATGTGAAATCCAATATTGCGCAGTTTTGTTAGGCCTGGGAAAAATATCGATGTATCGCTGAGTATAACATTTCATCGATATATCGGATAACAATGAATGATTCCAGAAATATCGATATATCGTTACTTTATTTATCTCTTGGAGCGTACGGAAGGAAATTCCTATAATGTTCGTTAGACATCGCGCGTACCTAGGGAGGACAGGAGAGGAGGTAGGTGTTCGGTTTTTTTTCGCTTTTGGAGGTTATGAGTTCTCGGGAATACATCGAGATGTGGCCGTATCTGTGCTTTATAGATCATGAGAAGCTGTTGTGGTGAAAAGTAGATTTTTGCACGAAATGAGAAACCGAGTTTTTGTGAAGCAGCTTCTGCAATAGATCGAACATGGTTTTTCCATGAGAAAGTATTACTGATAGTAATACCGAACATATATATAGTGGGACTTGGTGGGAATGGTGGTACCAAATATTCCTCGAAAGATCGGTAACTATCGATGTTTTCTCAATATGATGAAAGGAAAAAAATTATTTGTGTGACCCCTAGACGCTTTCGTATTATCCAGACAACAGGTTCAATTTCTTAAAATTATTTTTTTTTTTTCAGTTTGTTCAGTCATGAGAATATATTGCGTAGGTAGGTAGGTATAGGTAAGTTTTATGCTGATTGAGTTATTCTGGTTGAAGATTCAATAACCTTTGGTTTGGAGAGGTAATTAGATTTTTTTGAGTTAGGCCTGGGAAAAATCGATATATCGATATTAATTACTATCGATATATCTATATATCGATAACTATTGATATATCTATATACCGAACTCATGGATATGTATGACTTATCTATAATCGATATGTGAGATCCAATATCGCGCAGCCCTATAGTTACATCCCATATCAACAAGATATTCCAATTCGATAAAACTGTTATTTCATATAAAGAAGAAAATCTGTTTCAGCTGAGATAATCAATAAATAAAGTTCTGCATGTGAAATAATATGGTTCAGATGGATACCGCCACTACCTAATCATCCTTTTCAATTCCTTCCTATTCGGCAATTCGTACGGTACTCAAGATTCCTTTTTTTTTTCAGACTTCATCATTGAGACAAGTGAGGAATTCTACAAAGAAGTGAGCAGAGAATCTGCAGAAGTTCTGCTGGAAAACAGGCAGAATGGCACATTCATTATAAGGCCATCAAAAAATTCCAATCTGGGCACGTTGTCTGTTATCCAGGATAGTAAAATATTTCATTTAAGCATAAGGAAGAGACTTGACGGTTTTATTGCCCTCGGAAATGAAAAATTGAACGAGAAGTGCTTCAGGAATGTAGATTATTTGATTAATTATTATGTTAGTAATTATCTATTATTGTATTCAAATGAAGGAAATATCCAAATCAATACATTATTAATTCCTTTTAGAGACAATAAAATTATTCGAGATTGAACTTCAATGCATGAGGAATATGATATTGATCATCATTATATTTCATAATTGGAAAGAAAACATAATAAACCTGAGTGATTCGCATTTTAAGATATACCAAACATCAGATCGAAATTTTGTTCAGCAGTATTCAGAAAAGTCTATTTTGGTTAACATATTCGATTTGAAAAATTCTTTCCTCACTTTTTCGTTGGATTTTTTGTTCTAATCCTAGCAGAACTTCGGTGCCTTATGAAATTAGTACAAAATTCACGTAGGAATATTCAATTCAATCTGGCCCACAATATAATATCTTGAGCACTGTATATACAGGGCAAGCTATTACTAACCATCCGAAGCTCGATAGCGATTGAATGAAGTCAAAGTGAGATGTATCATATGTGGAGAAGTATTTTCCGCTTTTTCATCAAAGATCAACACAGTGAGTATTTTTTTCTTCATTCGGAAGCAAGTTCAATGACCAATATATCATACAAGCTTCGATATAATTGACAGAAATTCACCAGTGACGCAGCTCAATCAAGACTTCACAAGCTGACATACTATGCATGAATATTTCCAGAGTAGGACTTGAGTTCAAAAGGCTTCCCTTCTGGATCTGATTCGTTAAAAATGTTCATTGGATTGAAAAATACAATAAAAAATGCTAACCGATTTGTAATCAAATTCTCTCTTCTACACTCGAAACTACGAAATATCAAATTGAGCATTTTTTTTCTGAATCCTGATAGATGGCATTCTGATCGCGAAAAAATCGTTATTTATCAATGTTTTCATTCATTTACTTCCGAGGACAGCCCTGAAGTTGTTCTTACATGATGAGTTATTGTATACATCGAGATGTTTCTGGAATATAATATAGTTCAGTCATCGGGTGGTTCTTTCCTGGGAGAAGAGACAAAAAATCCGTGCGTTGGGTAGGTTTTGGCATCCTGAATAACAACTCCCATTTTGCGACCCAAATGTCCTGTTGCGTTTTCCGAAAATATATCAAACAACTAAAAAATAACGTTTTCTGAGATTATATCGAGAAGTATGCATATTGAGTAAAATATAAGAGTATAACAAAATATATATAACTGAATTCCATATCATTCATGTTGTATATTTTTTTCTGTAGAGTTATCAGTAAAAGCTTCAGAGCGACAAGAAGTGAGAGGCCTCCTGGCGCCATGCGTTGCACAAGATTACGAATCAGATTCATCGTCTTCCACTTCATCTGAAGATGTTCTGGATGTTTCTCCAGAGCCACGTTCATTGTTTTTATACTCTGATTATTTCGTCTATCACATCAGTAGGCGAACAATATCGTCTTCGTCACTGTCATACGTAACTTTATGTATATAATCGCAAGAAGCCGTGGTAATGCATTGTGCATTGGGTGGACTATCTTGCAGTTTCTTGCATTTGCAAGTAATACGGAAGCATATTCAACGTTGTGAAAGAGGAAGTAAAACGCTTTCACTTCGCTTCCATCCCTATTCCATATTGTTTTGGCCATTTTCACTCCAAAATTGGACTTGGTGATAATATCCAAAGAGAATGTTAACGAGCTGCTGTTGCGTTGGTGGCAATGCTACAGGATTAGCATAAGCTCTGGTAACTGAAAGCAGTGACATGAAGCATTGATACCTATGAATATTCAATGATAGCTATATCCATAGATTCCGCACCATATGAAAGAAACTATCTCCTGCTTCCATAGCATCAAGATATGTCATTTTAAGTTAATTCCTAACAAATTTTCCTTTTTCTTGAGTTAATGAGGCACCTGTTCGGTATGGGGAAACAATATACTGGGAAAATTTTTGCGTGAGTATATTCTCCCAGGAACTCTCCATCTCTCTGTTTATAGGAAACATATATTCAGATGCGCAGTTCCGAGTGCTACTCAACCAAGTACTTAACAACACTGGGGAGAACATTCTGAGAACAAAATGTTCGAAGAAGAGGAGGTATTGGAGAAAAACGAAATTTCACTCATATTTGGACGTTTTGAGAACGACTATGCTCCCGTTGCCAATGCAAAAAATCTAGAGTTCTCATGTTCATCTTTCAGGGTAAAAATAAACCGCTTCTTAGTCGACCCAGTCGATACTGAATTTGAAAAGTGTATAGGTATAGACATTTGTGAATGAATTTCGTCGATTTTGTTGCGGGCGCAGCGAATATTATGTAGTTGATGTGGTATAGGAAATTCAGTCTCCCACTCCTACATTCCACTTCGAATTTGTTTTGTACGTATAATTTATACTTCAGCAGCTATTCTTCAGAAAATGTTTTCCTGGATGTATTTGATTTCATATTGAAAACGCAATGGAAAATTTGGGTCGCAGACTATGGGTCATAATTCGGGATACCAGAACCTACCCGACCTACAAATTCTTGTCTCCTCTGATTATTTCAAGGTAGACCACACGTATTCATACCCATTGACTGACGTATCAGTTCAACAAAATTTCGCTCATAATTCGAGAATTGAACGGACTCACTGAAAGGACTGCTATAAACATACATATACATGAAAAAAAGTGTGTATAGAGATACGTCAACAACAACGACTGAAGATATGGAGGAAAGGATCATAAATTCTTCCAGGAGCGGCGCATATACAAATGTGTGTCAATATCAATGGGCAGCATGTGGAGTTTTTTGATGAATAAGAAGATCATTGGGGAAAAATATAACAGAAAACATCTACTTTGATAAGTTTTTGATTTGAAATTTCATAATTTCATCTGAATATCTCGTATGTGAATTATTCTCCTGCTTTGCTTCTATATGTTATGAATGTATCGGATATTATTTGAGGAATGGAAATTGCATGCATTTTTTCAATTGAAGTATCAGTTCATTAGATGAAAATTAGGTAAAGATATAAAACGTGTAGTAGATATCAATTGAAATGGCTAGTCTATTATTTTCGGAGTTCACGAATTCGCAATAATGGTTACAAATATCAATACAAATGTCAACATATTGAGCTCGCGTTGCAATTTTGTATCACATGGCCAAACAATTTATGGAATGTTTCTGTTCCATTTGAAAAACTCAATAAAATCACTCAGAAAAGTCCCAAACAAAAAATCATTCACAGCCACCCTGTATCATTCGAGGACATCTCGCCATCAACCGATATTATGATTATATTCTCTAAAATCAAATATTATTTATTATTGCGACAACATGCAGTGATTTTTTTTCCGGTATGCATCTGCAGATGACATTATTTCGACATAGGAATTCATGACTTCGATATTATCAAGTCATGTTCGTCGATATAAGAGGATGTATGAAAGGCACAGCAAAGCTTCTAAAGATGACATAATATACAGGGCATCCCATGAACAAATGACCTCCGTTCCTCGAATTTTTGGTGCGCCCTGTACATATGTGGCATTGATTGTTAGTTATGGACCTGATCGTTTCATTTACATAAGATTTGAGCGATGATGGTCATTTGGGTCAGTTTGCCTAAGAAAAGAGCATACAATCAACAGGGAACCATCTCTGAGGAACGCTCGGTTTGGATAAACAGTACATACAATTTAATTGCAATTTTTTGTGCTTTATAAGCTCTTTCATCGATGTCCTGTACCTTTTGAAGAAGGAGATATGCTACTAATGGTTATGCTAAGGGGGTTTACCACTTTGAAAATGCGTTAATGGCAGTTTTTACCAAAATTAGAAAATAATCACCATTCTTTAATCGCCTGTGAAAACTTCCCCAGGGTATCGATTCCGTATTTTTTTTACCGCAATCGACGAAATATTCGGTCTTCTTCAGTTCAGTATGGCAAAGATTTTCTTGATGAATGTCCGAGATACAAGTGGTAGACTGAAACAATTTCGAAAATATCGAAGTTTTCTGCTGTCAAATATGTTTCACAATCTCCTCAAAGCCTGAAACTTGAATTTGACACCAGCAAATATGTACAAATCACATTCTTCGATTTCATTAATATCTGAAATTGTCTTTGGTCATCATTAGATATGATGAAAATTCACCCATCAAATTTATAGAAAATATACTATTCTCATATCGGAATCAAAATCATTCGTTACAGTGAATTATTCATCTATTAAATTCAAGCTTATCGTTTCTTGATCGCTACAAGATTTTGAGTGGAAAGCAAGAATTCCGAACCAATGTTTTTCCCTAGTTGAGAGAAGAAATATTATCATTAAAATCATTTCATTTCGCGAATTGACATCATCATTTACTTAGTGAATATGAAATCATCATCTCCAAATGAGCCACTTGATGTTGATGATTATCAAACAAATGTTGATGCTATTCGTATGATGAATCGAATGCGATGTAAAAATATCGTCTGGTGACAAAAATACAACTATGGTATCAAAAATTCCATTTCTAATAGAACAGATATTTTCTATGGCAGTATTTACTGCATCTACGATCATTTTCCAAACTGAACGAACTAATCTTGATCATGCACAAAAATTTGATACCAACCTGTTTGCCTATAGATTCAGCACCAGGGCCATCTTCAGACACAATAAAAAGAAGGTACCTCTCATATAAAAGTCAGACCAGCTCAGACCTAATTGTATTTGAAACGGCTGGAAAGCCAGAAGAACCACACCAGAAGCAGGTTCAATAGCGGTTTATACAGTGTGTCCCAAATTCGATCCTCACCATTGGGATCTCAGTAACTATGAGAGATAGAGAAACGGTTAAATTAGCAAAGTTGTAGCAAATTTAATGTTGAATCATAATCTATCGAGAAATCCGGGCTAGCTTCAGTCATTCTTGAGTTATTCGAGAAAAACTGAAATCTTGTATTTTTGTTTTTCTCGAATATCTCGGAACCTATTGATTTTATGAAGAAATGACTTCAACATTCTCATAGCACTTTTTAGTGCTCTTTTCAATGGTTTTGTCAGTTTTCCGTCAAAATGTCAAATTTCTGAGATATCACCTACAACTTCAATTTTTCTTATGGACGCCATATTGGATTTTCACAGATTTGAAATCAGCATCAAATTTCCTTTCTAGTGATGTATCACACTCACAGTTAAATTCTATTTGGGGTA